TTTCTCTATTCCCTCTATCTATTATTCTACTAGAAGTAGAAGCACGTAAGATTTTTTAGAAATGTTGATTTTTGTTGAAGTGGCAAGTGTTTTAGTGAAAAAGGAAATTTTCAACCAAAAAAAAAAAGGCCTTTTTATTAATAAAAAAAACTTTTTATTATTACAATTATTTGTTTAGACCAAAGAATTAAATTCTAGGATGAGCACTAGCAACTAAGACTATAGGCTCTTCTTTTTTTAAAGGTAGGGTAGATGATGAGTCCAGTCACTTTTTGATATCAAGTTCTCTATTTTCTATTCTTTAAGAAGTCCGTAGGGTTAGATTGTACAAAGACGGATCTTCGAATATTAGAAAGGTTTTGCCGTGTGCAAAGTATATGTTTAAACGTAAGAGAAAATGGCAGATCAGATATGTAGAATTCTTAAGAATCCATTGGTGAGTTGCAACGGTATAGCCAACGCGGACTTTTGCATACGTTTCGATCTGGATTTACCCGACGTTAATCAAATGTTTAAATTAACTTATTAAAATAATATTATGTATATCTCTGGAAAATGTTGTTCAAAAATCATATTTCGAAAAAGACGCTTATTGAGTTTGATGTATACATCTACTGACCCATTTATTAAAACATATTAAATTTTTTATCTTTAAAAACTTTGCCACGCCAACAATTGCCTTTTCGTGTCATTCTTAACTATATAAGCTAATCGAAGAAAAGAAAACAAAAATGAACTGTAAACGGACTGACAGACGACCTAAGTAATAATAAATTGGAGCAAACCAAGTGGCAAATGTTGTAAATATAATAATGAATAACAACTGAATCGAAATTAAGACTTCTTAGCACGTGAGAGAGGAAAATTGCTTTGCAACGATGAAATTTACTTAAAAACACAATATTCCTATCATAATTTCCATTGCGTGGAACGCAATACATATATTCTTTGTGTATTACTTGATAACGTTACATTGAATTAACGCGGAGAGGTTTGCCGTAATGTTTACTTATTGATCACACACTTGCTGTTTTCATTGATCGCACACTTGAGCGGTCTGCTATTTTACAATGAAACCAAATAGGCTAAATATTTGCTTTGTGTTTTAAATCACAAACTCCGTATGTCAAATTGAAGAAAAACTTGCATAAAACTTACTTGCGGAAATATTTGTATCAAAAACACAAGCGCATTAACGGTAGGAATAGTTCAACCAATCACACGAACTCTGGTCAATCATTGGACTTCTTAAAATTTAGGAGCTAATGCTTAAAACTGATGGAATGGGGCTTCCCCATGCGACTGTTTTGAGAAAAGCTCCATTTTCTCCATCCGCTTTTGATTAAAGGCAGCCACAACATTGCACCGATCGATTTAGAATCACTTTCTGATCGATTCGCCGTGTTTGTTTGTGTTCGGACTTCGATTCGCAATTTTTTAGATATTTTGAAGAGATAAGATAGTTCGATGAAATCGGGTACATCGATGTGCCTTTGCTCCAGGACGAACACTATTGAGAATGATTCGGATCGGATCACTTTTTCGACCACTTCGTATATAACAACTTATTTTGAAAAGTTATTATGTGAATAACTGTATTCAGCGAGGTGGATTAAGGTATTTAATGGTGGGTCTTGTCCCGCAATAGTGCTTTTATTGGTTTCGCAATCATTGGCAGCACACGACTTTCGATTTTATTAAACGAAGAAACAATCCAAACTTTGTGCGGGGCATCACTGAACAACAATAACTTGTAAATTAGCGGTCAGGATATCATCAAATTTTGACATATTTCGTTTGAAGGTACATCCTATACGAAAATAGTATGGTTTCGACAATAATCATCCAACATCTGTATGTCATTCTACGAACTTATTGAGTGATATGTTAATTTAAAATTTTAGCATATTTTCAAATAGCGCAGGGCAACTTAATTTCCATCTAATGAGTTTTTTACATACACGTTTACCATATGAATAAAAGCTAGAATAAACATAACTTAGTTAACATCAAAATGGAATAATTAAAAAAAAAACAGCACGATTTTACAGCGCTTTTAATAAAGTGAGAAAGTTGATATGTCTCCCATTGATAGCTTCAATTGAAGGCCAATATCTCATAACACTCCCGCTAATACCTTTAAAAATTATTGCAAATTACACCTGTCATTTGCTTTACGAGCTACTCTCGCTTTTCGCTCTCAAGTGGTTTGCAGGATGAAAAACATCAAAAAATATTGCTTTCGCTATTTCTGCTTATGATTATCTTTGTAGCACTTACTAGTGATAAATAATGTTTGTGCCAATTTTTTTTAATGGAAAGCGACACCTTCTTATATCTACAACATAGATTTTTTAATGTTACATTTTTCATTTTTTAAACTAACTGGATATTCATTTTTATATATTTACATGATTAAACTGTTATTTTTATGTTTAATGAAATAAGTTACTCTATTTGATATATCATTGAATTTACAATTACTTAGAAAAGCAGATAGATGTTTGTGTTCATTTATAAGTCTTTATACTTGTTATCTGGACACGCAACCCACTTGATTCGGTCCACTCAATCTCAACACAAAAAAAATAAAAAATTTTTATCCACAAAAATTTTCGATTTACATGGTTTACATGAGAAACCTATCGCCCATGTGAAAAATTCTGCCAAATTTACCCAACACTGTTCACATGCAAATGTACATGTGTGTGACTTTAACTACACTTGACACATTCAGAACTGGAAACAGCAATTCATTTTAGTCTTTGAGAGAATGGGTAGAAATTAATAACACACAGAGCTCTCTCATTAAAATATATAAATACTGCACCAACTTGTGATCATTGTTTGTGGAGATATGCATATAAGTTCATTAAAAGCATATTATAATAATACGAAAGACGCAAAAACTTTCACCTTTTGCTATCTGTGCTTATCACCTGTATGTGCTTACATATATATACATGTATTTTTTAGATTTACAATTTTGCTTTTATAACACTTTTACGAAAATATTGGAAATCATTGTTTATTTCACGGAAAAAAAAACAAATAAAATCAGCTGACAACACTCAACCCACGACAAAACGTCAAAACGATGCGTCATCTATTGTACTAAGTAATGCAAACAAAGCCAAATTCATATAACATGGAAAAAAGGGAAAACGAAAAAATGAAAACAAGAAAAATTTGTGACTTGTTTTTAGAGTTGCCAGGTATTAATTAACAATAAGTAGAGAAAGATGAAAATTACGTTATGAACAAAATGGCGCCTCTCGTCTCATCAAGCCTTCGGACATTGTCAAGGCTTTCACTAGATCAGAATACGACTTCTAAATTTTTCATTTTACAAAGACACTTGTGTTTAGATTATTATTTGAAAGGAGGTCTTTTGCATATTTGCCGTACAATGCACAGGGAATGTGCTGTTTACGTGGTAAATATATTCGTAAGAAATAAATGCAAACTTAAAATATATTATATATTTAGTTATTTTAGAGATGGATGAAAATAATTATCTCACTTGCGCTAATTAATTTCTTTAAACTGCTATGACGTCATAATTAAAATTGGATTTTGTAAAACAATATTATGCAAGGGTTAAATCGGAGATAGTAAATTGATTTTTAATATAAAGCCTATAAGCCAGGAGGAAGTAGAATGGTAAAGCTGCCAAATGCTGTTTCATTTTGACTCACAAGCCGACTGTGCTCCTTTCCTCCTGTGAGATTGCCACCGTATGATATGTTTAATTTTTATGCCTGGGCGAGATGTTTCTTATTTCTTCTCACCAATTTATAGAAAGCAATATTGAATTAAATTTACATTTGTCGATTGTACGTCCTTTAGATAAAAAATTCATTGTTTTTTTTGAACAATCACTTTCCTTTAAAGAAAAAGTTTGGAAACCAAAACGTACAGACATGGTATATTATTGCAATTGTGCAATAATTATTAAACTAAACAAGAACACAATATAAATATGAATTCCAAAACGGAATGCAAAAAAAATGCCGGATAATGAAACATTGCTTAGAAATGATAAGCGGCTTGGTTTTAAACGCGAATTGGTTTAGAGAATAAAATACAAATAACAGAAATAACAGAATCAAAGGTCGTTTCGCTACGTTCATCTGTACTACTCGTTTACTATGAAAAAGATTTCAACTCTTGAAATTACTTTAATTCCAATCCCATTACCCGAACGTATATCAGGGGATTTTTACAACATTACAAATTTGAATCTACCCAACTTTTGCGCCAAACTTTCAGGAGCGACAGGTCACTGTGTTAAAATATATCTAAAACGGATCAGGATGTTAACCAATGATAGCAAAGACGCCGACGATGTTTGTCTAGGTTTCGAAATATGCTTAATTTCCTTTTAGTAGTATTAATGTTTATGAAATATTTGATAACATGGTAACGACTTATCAACTAACAAAAGCAATTCTACAAAGGAAGTAACGAAGGGAAAAGGCAACAAGTGAAGGAATTTGGCAGCATTTTTTAGCCAAAATAGAAAATCGAGAGGACGAGCTACCGAAGAGAGTGAGTATAATAGGAAAAAAAGGAAAAAACTTATTCTTTGAAAAAAAATTTTGAGTAATCATTTAAAATAAATAAAGACCTTTCATAAACACCTATTCTTCGTATGTCTGATTGAACGCGACATCAAGTTCAACAAATTCCGTTGTTTCATTCATAAGTTCAGCCTAATTACTTTCACAACTTAGGTACAAAGTCACAAATTCAATTAATGCCATACAGATGCCACAATTTATCAGCAAAAATTTTGTTTTCACGTTAGTTTACATTCAAAACTACACAACATTTTACCTTAAAACACAAGTCAACAGTTAGGAATATGCGAAGTATTGTTTAACTTTTGAAACAAAAATTAATTAATTTTTTTCCTTTCTGTAATTAAAATGCACTTTTTCTCACGCACGCACGCACACACATAACACTACAAAAAAAAGTCTGAGCTAGAAACCAACCTCCATCACTGTAGACAAATTGAGATGGCAATTTGGTAACACTTGTTCTTTTTTGGCCACTAGCATGCACATGCCGTCCTTGTTTAGCGAAAGGAATTAACAAACGCACCCAATATTTTTTTTTCTTTTAATGTATTCAATTAAAATGCACACAATGAATGAGAGAATATGCGAACTCTCAATATAACTTATTTACTCTGACTGCTTTGTCTGCCGATGAGACGATTATTTTAATGTTTGCTTGGCATAATACAAAAACACGACGAGTAAGGGATAATTAGAAACTATTGAGCACATTGGAATTCTTTCTCATCATGTCATTTAAGAGGGGGTATCCGCACATCAATTGTGATGACAAAAGCAATAGCATAAAATTTGTTTAACCGTCTTATCTTAAAAAAGAAGAGTCGCACAAAAGCAACGAACTACACAATAAATTTATCCACTACACATTTGCCTAGATTATTCACCTTTTTGGATGCGTTTTACTTGGTAATCACTTATTGCGTAGTGCCTCTCTTTATACGAGTTAACAATATCCGCTCGCAAGGTTTTTTAAAACTTTTCCTCACGTAAAGAAAACCAACTTGCTTAGTTAGCTTTTCAGTTTTTCTTGTTTTTTTTTTCTCTCCCTTTTTTGTTAATGTTATGCACAAACGAAAACTTTACGCAGCGAAAAATTTTGCAATTTTGTTCAATCAAGAAAAACGACTAGTAACCAGCCTTGCCGTAACTAAAAATTTTAGCTTAATGCTTCGTAGAAAAATGCTGCCAGATTACTCTAAATAATGACAGTTTGTTATAAACTATTCTTTTTAATATAATTATCACATATTACTATGCTGATTTGCAAACCAACTTAAATTATTTGCATTCCTTCATACACTGAAAAGTAAATAGATTATATATGGATTTGTATGATATATTAGTCTGCGGACCACATGTACATAAAACTCGTAGTATAAATGTTATTGTGTAAATTATGGCAAGTTCTTACTTTGCGGAGTTGCATATGCCAATACTGTTCCAGTCCTACGTCGCTTGTGCGGTTGTTGAATCCGCCATTGTTGCTAGCAAATATAGCATTCTGTTTCAGGGACTATTGAAAACTAACTATATTGCACAAGCGCAACGGGTTTCTATAATTGCTTTGAACAGTTGGAAATTCAAATTCAATTCCTTTCACTGCACTGCTCTGCAAAATCATTTACATTCCTTATTTTCTTTAGTTTCCAATTCAATGTTATCAAGTGAACTTATCAAGCACCTTGATTCGTGTACATTCAACAGATGTTTTTGTTTCGAACTCGTACACCACCCATTGGTTTGTAAACATTGCTTGATGGTTTCAAGTACGAGCTAATTAATTTAATGTGTAATAAATGTAATGTAATGTTATTTTTGTAGACTGCTCAAATTCTGAAATGAAAAATGCTGAAGGTTGGTTAAGGCAGTAAGGACCACAAGTCTGCGAAAAATACGGGTCAGAATAAGCAGCGTCTTTTGCATGGATCGGGGGAATGATGTTGTACAATTCACTTCAATGCTGTTATCATTTCCTGAACGGTTATTGCACGTAGTATTGCCATTGTAACACAGCAGCCAAGACTATTTTGTAGCGTTCCAAAGTAATTGTGTCCTTGGCTTGGAGCAGGTCTTATTATCCTACACTTACCATACCCACATAGAGAAGTGTCATGAATATTCGTGTTTAACGTCGCAGGCATCGTGTCCATTTTTAATCATTCGTTAACTGGTCTTCGATTGTTTTTACTATTTTCAATAATTTTGAAATTTCTATTACCGAACAATGCCATCCAATGTACGTCCATACGCCTGCCCGTCTGCCTATTTAATGCCTATGGTGAGCATTCCTCCTGTCGCAGAAAAGAATGCACTTTTTACGCAAGTTGGTATTGAAACTTTGGCAAACACGTCAAAAGACAAGCCCGCAGTACAACATAACCTGAAAGCATCTCTGTTTTCAAAGATAAGAAAAATTTAGAGTTAAATTAGAGATAATTTCTTTGGATTTTATAGTTTTATTTATTTGATTGTTTACTCTCTTCCTTTCATTTAATTGCATTTACATTACGGTATCACAAATATTCCATTGTTTATTTACTGGGTATTGCGACAGCACTCACAAAATCTGAAAGCGATAACTCAGGGAAAAGATTCTAGAATTGCCGGACCAAACGTTACTCGAAAGATAGTAGGATTTTATCGCCCCAACTTTGTTCCCTGCCAAATACATTGTTGTTGTATTCGCAGCAATTTCGTACAATTTACGAATAGTAAATGCTTGACTTAAAAAAAAAGTGATATTCGGATTCAACACAAACATCGATTTTTAACTATTATTATGGATATTTCACATAAATGTCGTATCAGAATCAGTAATCAATCTATTTAGTATTTATCTACCTAGTATCTATCTATCAAATATCTCAGTGGAAGAAGCCAACGAACTATTGAAACCGGAAAGCAAGTTCATGTTACGTAGAGCTTTCCACTTATATTAACTTCGTTGGAAACAAATTTTTGCGTTCACAATATTTCATTCATTTTTTAAAATAAACAGAGTTTATATAATGACTTTTCATAAAAAAAGGACATTATATTGGAACCGGTCGAAGAAGTGGTCCTATCCAAATTATTCTCGTTAGGCTTTGCCCTCCGGCTACAACACGCCAATGTATCAAATTTCATCAAACAATTCGAATTGTAGGGTTAGATAAAATCTATTTGAGTTTATATCTGGCGGTCCCGTGTCCATTATGCCTTATGGTTGTCTATAATGTAGTAATTTTGGAAAAGATCACTCACTGGAAAAAGATTGGGAACTACTAAAGGAAAATGTCAATTGTTTGCAATTTTTTTGTTTTTAGTTTTTGTTTTTTGTTTTTTTTTATTTCTTTATTGAATATAGAGGAAACAAAAGCACATACGGTATCCGTAATATCCGCGATAACCAGGTTTAGCAAAAACACTGAGAAGACACGAGCTAAATACACAAACTGACTGAAACAATTAAAAAATCGCAGACGAAAAGAAAACCCGCACTACTCAGAACACAAGTCGACTACGAATGATATCTGTTGTAATTTGTGAGTATTGAGCAAGAAAAAAACATTTAGACCCCTTTGAAAAATAGAGTCCTCACTTCACGTTATACTGTATCCGTGTCCTTCGATCGGTTTGGCCCATTTGCAGTAATAAGAAGCTCCAATGTTTCTTGAAGTTTATAGCTTCAATTTTGCGGCCAGAGTAGTATTTACAATAGATATTACACAGACGGACAGAGGGACATGCTCAAATCGATTTAGAAATTGATGCTGATTAAAATTATATATATACTTTTTAGGATGTCTAAAGCTATCTTCTCGGCGTTGCAAACGTTGCGACAAATGAATACACACGACACTCTACGGTGATGGATATGGTTTTGATGGTGTAGCTCGGGTAAAATTGGACAAATATGTCTCCAAGAGAGCTGTTCTAGGTTTTGGAATTGAAGTTGATCAAATGTCACCTAAAAAATGCCACTAAATAAGATTTGTTTTAGACCTTTTATTACATCAAAGGATTCAGTATCACTTTAAGAATCGATCTAAGCTTGTCTGTCGATCTTGCTATCTGGACGTTCAGCTTTCTTGAGTTCAATCTAGAGGTCGCACAGTTTTGAAAATATTTCTATAAAATTTGTTAAATTCTATGTCCAAGGACGAACACTACAGCAAATGGTTCGGATCGGATCACTTTTTCGACCACTTCTCATATAACATATAAGTTTTGGAAAATTTTAAGTTAAATGGTGCGGACTGTGGCCTACTAAACTTTTTTGTTCACATCTGGTGCACACACGTTGACCGCATCAAAGCGCAGATTTTGCTTGATGAGTACACGGTTCGAAAGCAATTAACTCGTTACCTCGCCAGCTCTATTCTTTGCAAATGTATCAAAACATTAATGAAAATTTGCCATGTACTAGAAGTGTGGCATCCGCACCTAAATAAAGGTTTGAGGTTTCAATAATGACTGAGATCGTCGTATTGGAAGGGATTTAAGTAAATATTGTGAGTTACTTATCAACATATATGTAAGTAGCAAACTTGAGATTCGTAGAACGATATATTCAAACGCGTTCCGTGGGTTAGCTATTATGTTAATTACTTTTTCCATTTAATCTCCGATAGTGTTAAACGATTCGGGGAATATAAGGGACGTCTCAGAAGCGTTAGGAGATAAAGTTCCAGTTTCAGCTTCATTCCGACCTCTGTTCGTTTACCAACTTCTGTTTCGACTGGTGTGTTCCCCTCACTTGTATTCAGCTTGACAATATTTCACGGAAAGTAGACAGTAGCAGCTTACAGTTCACACATTTTACTTGATAAACGTCGTTTGTATTCAAATAAAAAAGGGAACTTTATTTTATATGTGTAGATTTTTTCCTATTTTAGAAGGTCTTAGAAAACTTACCCATAGTTTATTTTAAAAAGAACACTTTTTTATTATCATGGCTTATAAGGGAAAATATATAGATCGCAGTCCCAATATTAGCGCAGAAGGCAAAGTTTTCGGGCCTAATGAGTTTGTAGCCGATTCAATGAAATTTTATTCAGATGACGAGATGGTCGCATCTATAATGCGAAGTAAATGTGCAGATGCGAAAATTAAGCGAAATCTTTCGAGTATTGCGTTTCTGCCATGTTTTTCGGAGGATTCAATGAAGTACATATTAAGTCCCGAGGTGAGGAAAACGCGTTGGACGATCTTCCGAGAAAAGTTTATGGAGGAAAATTTTTTTAAAAAACATGAACTTGGTAAACCAATTTCGGCAAATTCAAAACCAAAGGAGTTCACCAACGAGAATCGTACGTATGGTATGAAGACGCCACGTTCAGAGAACATATTGGATCTGATATTGCCCAAGAGGACGGCGGACCAGGTGAATCGTGAATACATCGACTTCCACGATAAATACGTGATCTCCCACAATCATTATTTACCCTCAGAACAAGTTAATAGACGGTAAGCTTTTCTTTTTCAATTGTGTTATAAAACGATTTAATTTATGTGGGCTCGTGTGTGCACAAGTTATGGGAAAAATTTTGATAAACGTTCCACGTTTGGTGTTCCTTATAATGCGGATATTGCGGGTAGAATGGTTAAGAAGTGCTTGCAACACTCCACGAACGGGGAGATGGTTAGTAGGGCACATAAAAAATTTCTAAATCGCACCCACCCCCAACTGGGACAACGGTTGAATAGGTACGAATTTTTTTTTTTTTGTTTTCAAAATCTTTCATTTTTCGCTTTGCATTGTTTCTTTGCTTATTTATAGATACGAACTTGAAATAGATCCTAACGTAACATTGGGCAAACCTTGTTTATTAGATCATTGTGACGCTCGAGACTTACTTGAAGATATTAGCCCTTGTCACGAAGTGGGTACATACACAGCTATTGCTTATGTCCATACAGTGCGTCACAATCTGTTCAAACGCGACGATTTCCAAATGCAAGATTTGAAGTCGTATTTTCGCTTATACGACAACAACAATACAGGTTACCTAAGTTTTCACGATATCGTGAGTGCAATGGGCGATTTGCTAATACACGTAAATAGGGACAAATTACGTCTGGCAGCTTCAGTTTTCAATATGTTTGTCGATGAGGGTTTGCCAACCGAACGTATCGATATAGAGAGGTTTTGGAGAATGCTACACATTCAGTACCCCCTGCCACATGTCGACTCTATTAGATCGGATATGCATAATAAAGAGACCACGTATCGATTATTTGTGAAGGACCGTGAAAAATCGATAGAACCGCTTCTTGTACCTCTTCAGCTTAAGCCAAATGATGACTCGCGAACTGGAGTTGGTGATTTAATTTCACCCGGAATTCCATTACAATTTGGTTTGGGTCCCAGCGATTTTGAAACACTGCGCTCAAAAGAGCAGTTGCGGCAAATTTTCAAACGTGTACTAGTCGATAATTTTGAAACGATCTGGAAGGTAACGCGAACGAAACTAAAGAGGGATGAGAATTGCAAAATCTCAATAAATGAATTGCGTAAAACTATTGACGAACAAGCGACCTCAAGCATCTATCAGGATTAGATTGCAAAAGGCTAGGCATACAACTAATAGCTCGCAACGTTGTTGGACAAGACAAGGAATTAAGGCAGGACAACCTTTCATGGTGGTGAACGATCAATATGCGTACGTTCGCTTGTTCGGGTTCATTCCACGTCGTCAAATCAAATTAGCTTTCTTTTGGACCAGGGTCGCGCTAAATATAATGGTTTTATAAGCCACAAAGGGGACAGAAACTTTCGGGTTTCCTCATTAAATGCTCCATTTTCGTGAAAGCTGATGTAAAACATTTGAATCGGTTTCTATACAGCGCGATGAATTATTCGCTTGTGATTTGTTGAATTTTAAAATAAGAAGAAAAACAAGAACGCGCGAATTATGTTCATGAAGTGGAGAATCAAAATTTTCCTGAAAGCATTTTGAAAGGAGATTTTTTTTTAAATTCACTTGGGTAAAAAGGGGGTATACGAGCCACACATTCCACGCATTATAGTATGTAATATGAAATGGTCATGCTTGAACCAGCCGTTAGCGTTATTACAAATACATCTCGTAGTATATTTTTGAAACCGAATATGGAAACTTTATCCACTAATGATGCTGCAGTTCCTGATTGAATTTAACAAGAGATATGGAATAAATATAGAATAAAATTTACGCCTTTTTATGGCCTAATAAGTGATCTCTTGAAACAAGTGTTGTCCATTGAATGAGTATTAATTTAAAGACATTTTATTCAGGTACTGTTCATTTGTTGATACTGTTTTTCACATTTTTCTGGAAACGTAACACCCACTTTTTTGTCGAGATTCAAGTTTTTCGAAGCTATTCAGAAAAAAGTTAATTTTGTAGTACCGTATTGACAGTGGAAGAACTACGCAAATCGATTGAAACGAGTGGCGATCAATACCAACAATTCTATTGAATAAAGCGGTGGAGAGAACAGTATATTACAGTAGTACTAATCTTCAACCATACTAATGTTGAACATACGGATATTGCAACATATTATTATTATTGAATGCCGAAGAACCACTTTATCGCACCTTTTACAACATACACACACGCGTCTAGCAACATGAACTTGGTGACATATGGCTTTGCGATAGTTGTTGACAACTGAATTGGAATGGAGGAAGCAGTAGTCTATTCATTCGCGTTATCGGGGAGATATTATATTTATGTAGGATTTATGATTGTTTTAAAAGAAATATGAAACATAAGCCGCGGGTTATAGTAGTGTGTCTATTATTCTTTCCTCACTGTCTAGCAACACTTTCCTTACCGTTATATGGTTACATCATTAAAACATTCGTATCTGCAATAGCAAATTGGAAGAGGACCCCTTCTTTTTGATGCCCAATCGATTCATGGAAACAATTTACAATTTCACGACAGCACCATCAAGAGTCCAGCCGCCTTTAATTCTAAAACACAATTTAATGAATATATTTCAACTTTAAAATAAATGGTCCTTATTGCTTGTTTTTCATTTCTTTCAAAATAAGGCGTGGTATAAACACAAACTGCAAATCAAGTAATATAAAAAAATGTACATTAGCCCCATACAAGAACTTATCTTGTAAAGTCTTTGTATGACGCCAGCATTAAGCGAAGTGGTCATTTAATGGTGGGCTGTGTCGCACTATGGTGCTACCGAGAAATCGGTCATAAATGGAATCGCAACCATGCCGGCATTTATCGATCTCCAAACGGATCCGCCGCTGGTTCGTAAAGCTGGGAGATGCAAGCCTTCAAATACGATTCGGTAGCTAGGAAAGCTTTCTATTCGGTCTAATCTCCAGAGCAAACAACTAATCCCAAAAACTAAAGATGCCTTGGTTGCGTATTATTACCCCGACAATCAGTCCTAAGTCGTCCGTCAAATCCTGTGTTTCTCATAAAATAATTCTTATACCCTCCCTTTTTGTCATCTTTTTTGTCGCCAAATTTTGCAGTATTTCTAGTTACCTTTGAAAACATATGAAATCAAAGGAAGGTTTAGCGAATTCAAAAGAAAACATGAATTTGTTTACAAATCGAAGAAAGGTGTAGCGAATTCAAAAGAAAACATATATGCTAGTTGTGTACATGCTTTTTTTTGTCTGGTAAACGTAATTATTATTATTATTATTATTTTTTCTAGTTTCTAACGACTGTCTAATGAAATCATTAAGCATTCATAGAGTTATCTAAAAAAGACCAAAATTCCTCAATCAGTATATAGTAAATGGGTAATGTATTGCACAACGAAAAGAACAACTTCTTACGTTTGCGTAAATTTACCAGCATGCTATTGGACAAGGATAAAGTGATTATCTCGTTCAGGTCTGACACTACTTCTGCGTCGGCGCGTGTCAGAACTCATGCATTATGAACACAAGTCGGAAGTTCATTAAAACTCAGGCAAACGAAAGGCGGCCTCGTGGATAACCTCGGAGAATATCGGACGATGTGGAAATGTATCGAGAAAAGGCAGAGTTGAACAATAAGATAAGATTTAAACAAAAAGACTCTATTTATTCATCCATTTTTCAATTAATTCAAATACATAAACATTAGCTAAAGTAGGCTATTTATTAACGATTACACAAACGACAATAATTCAACATATTCAACATGATAACATCACAAGGCTTAGCCAAATGTAATTATATCTATATTCATAAATTCATATATCAATTAAAATGTAATTCAAAATACTTGAGCACCTTTTTGGCTCTTTGCACCGCGTTTTCAAACGTCACTAAATCAATGCTTACTAGTTTTCATGCTGAACACATTTTTATTAATAGTTATCGTATCGTTCTGACACTGGCAATTTGCAAGCCTTTAGAGCCTAAGTTTTTAGTCAAATATATGAATTAGGTTATGAATCTTATTTAAATTGATGCTAAGAATCTTAAGTGGAGTAAACAATTCGTAGTTGTTTTTACATTGGCTAAGCTTTATCAGCTGCTAGCTTCTACAAGATCGAACAGGACCATGTCAATTCAACATAAGAGCGTTAGCTCAGAGATTTAATTTAAGCAAGTTTATAAGCTATCGTGATAGAAACACAATCCCTCTTGAAGCTGCTTTTTCTTGATTTTTCGAGTCCCAAAGTGGCATTGTCGCACATTGGTATAATGGGTTATTCAACGCACCCAAAACTATATGCCGATTAATGGTCAATCGAGACCTCACCTCACCTGGATCATCAAGTTTTTGTGTAGTTAAATGAGTGTGTTAGGCACTGTTCAAGTTGCTATGAGTTCAAAGACACTAATGACCTGCGCCCATGATCAGCTCAACGTCACTAATGGTCTACTGGCGATGTCCGCTTTGGACAATTATTCAATAAAAAGGAAGAACTTCTCTAAAGATACTTCTTCATATTATTAACCGTCATACATGTGACAGGTCAGCTAACTCCAGCTTTTGGTGCTCTCGTCCGCGGTTACGCCCAACGGCAGTAAACCATTCGGCTTTGATCAAGAGCGTAAATAAGTTTCTTCTTCACGAATACTACTTTGTTTCACCTGACTCTTGAATGTAATTTTCTCTGCAATATGAAGTTATATGCAAAGGTTTGACAAGAAAGGAAATTCAATTTTTCAAATTGCCCCTGTTTTCACTATATCTTTTTTTTCAATCTACAATTGCATAGCTATTTAGTTTTTAGGCAGGGCAGATTTTTTCCCAATTATTTTTAATTGGACCATAGGGAACGAATTATGGCTTATAAAGGAAAATATATAGATCGTCATCCCGATATAAAAGCTGCGGGAAAGATTTTCGCGACTAATGAACGTCTCAGCGATCGTTTGAATATCTGTTCAGACGAAGAGATGGCCTCGTATGCAGTAAGATACAAATGCAAAGAGAAAGCCCCAAAACATCAATTGTGTGTCGCTTCACCTTTTATACCGGTGGGATCGATGCACGAAATAGTCAGTCCCGACTTGAAGAGAAGTCGCTTTGTGTCATTTCGCGAAAAGCTCTTGGAGGGAATGTATTTTTCGAAACACAAAGTTGGTAGATCATTTGTGGTACATTCGAAACCCGATGGGCTAACGAATGAAAACATGACGTACGGTATGCCGCCGCAGCGTTCTGAGAGTGTGGAGGGTTTGTTGTTTCCAAAAAAAACGGCCGGCCAAGTGAATCGCGAATACATTGAATGGCATGATAAGTATTTGTTATCTCATCAACATTATTTCCCTTCGGAGCAACTTACTCGACAGTAAGTTACTTGATGAATGCACTTTTTAATTCAATTCTTAAGTTAACATATATATTTTGGTTAACAGCTATAACGGAAAATTTGATAAAAATTCTACTTTTGGTATCGTATTCGACGTAGATAGAACTGGTAAAATGGTTAAGAAAATTCTTCAAGAAAATCAATGCGAAATGAAAACAATCAATTTAGTGCAAAAAAAGTTTGTGGAACGCACTAGTCCCCTGCTTGCGGAAAGCATTGATCGGTAAGTGAAAACGGGAGAGTTTTATGGGAATTTTAAGTTATTTTTGCTCTGCTTTTTCTTATAAATGCAGTTTTGAACTTCACCTTGATCGAAATGAAACGAGGGGTAAACGGTGTATACCGGATGAATGTAATGCCCGGCAATTGACCGAACCTTTAAATCCTTGCCAGGCGGACACAAGTTTGACCAAAGCTCTAGCCCATATCTACAAACTGCGTCTTAATCTATTTAAACGTGAAAATTTTCATATGCAAGATCTGATACTGCTTCTCCGCAAACACGATGAACGCGGCACGGGCTACGTCACCATGGAAAGTATTTGGGAGGTCATGTACAATTTGCAAATACACGTAAATGTGGATAAATTACGTTTGGCAGCGTTAAGCTTCGATATCATTACGGATCAGGGATTACCAACGGAACGTTTGCACATAAATAAATTTTGGAAAATGCTAGACGTACGTTATCCTCTGCCGCGTATTGAAAGTGTTAAGTCATTTCACGACAACAAAGATACGACCTATCGGCTCTTGTGTGAAGATTATAAAAAGCCGTTAGGATCACTTTTTATATCCTATCAAAGCCGATCGAACGATGAGAGCCGGACGCGAGCCAGCGATTTAGTCTGTCCAGGAATTCCGTTACAATTTGGCTTATGTCCAAGTGATTTTGAAATTCCCCGGTCTAAAGAGCAACTAAGAGCAATTTTCAAAAATCTATTGGGTCAAAATTTCGATGAGGTATGGGAGCTAACTCGAGCCACACTGAAAGGAGATGAAAATTGTGAAATATCAGTAAACGATTTGCATAAAACTATGACAACAATTGCGAATGAGTAGTGTCGGAGTTAAGGTGCGCCATTTCGGGATTGTAGGATTTAGAATTAGTAATTGCTAACCAGAGGAAGAGCGTAACGTTCTGGCACTATTTGAAATTTTCAGCTAATCTGTATAATTGTATTAGTTAGTTCATAGACTGTTCTTGTCACTTGGACAACGACAGCATTAACTTTTGAGCAACTGATAGTAAAAGCTTTAATTTATATCATCGAATAAAAAGTTCGTTTTATTAAACAAGCCAGTTACTCGTCCCTTTGAATCGCCAACACGATTTGAAGAGTTCATCTAGGAGAGTAAATTCGAATTTCGACAAAGTTGGTCCATCCGTTACGTTGCGAAACTACTAGGGAACTAATGGGTCTTTTGTTTTCCTCATTCAAGTCTTGGTAAATAGTTTACACTAATTGCAGCGTACATGCAACGGATAAAAGTTTCATTCACGAGCGCGTGCGCTTTTACCACTTATTGTAAAGCCATGTCTACGATACATTGATCAATAATTGCTGGTGCAACGCCTTTTCTTTTTAAAATTTAGCGGCGTATCCAAGACTCACTTTAAAGCCGCACTGACTTAACCATCTATAAGAAACGATAATAGTGAATATAAGTACCCCTTACGAAACGTTACTTAGCATATCACAACTCAAGACCGCGACACCTGTCGCTAGGTTAATGAAGGCGAGCGTCCAAAGGACAAGAAGGACGGACCAACCACGAATAATGCATTCCTTTCTAGTCCCTTCAATTTATATACCGTCAAAATATTCTCTCTCTCTTGCTCTCTGAAATATCAAGAAGGGATAAAAAAATTCCTGGAGGTCTAACTTCAAATTTGGCGACGATATTTAGTAACTCAATCAACTTTAAAGGAGGTAAAGAGGAGCTTTCTAGCGTAACGTTTTTTACAACCCTGGAAAGCCCCTATCCTGGCAACTCTGAAAATAATAAATTCAATTCTCGACAATCCATTACTAATTTCGAAATCAAATGTTTCCGGTTTCCTTTCTTTTCGATAGTACATTTCGAAACGAGAAATTATTTTGAAAAGAGGGTAGATTTTTTTTTTTTAGTGTGTTTTGTACATATTTTTATTTAGATTGGAACGTTTATAAAGAGGAAAATCTATGGCTTATAAAGGAAAATACACAGATCGTAATCCGAACACAGCGGCGGCAGGAAAAATTTTCGAGCCCGAAGGAAATGTCGGCGATTTTTTCAAAATGCATCCAATTGAAGAGGAAGCACAAAATATGTTGGAATTCAAATGTAAAGCAAAAATTGACAGACGCAAACAGAAGCCCTGCATCTGTTTTTCCCCAAACACGCCGGAGCAGTCATTGAAAGAATTATTGAGCCCAGAAATGAAGAAAAGTCGTTTTGTGACATTTCGCGAGAAGTTTTTGGAGAGGATGTTTTTTAAAAAACCCGAACTTGCTACAGCATTTCCGGTGCATTCAAAACCGGACAGTTATACCAATGAGAGTGCAATTTATGGCAAAAAATTAGATCGTTCCGAGAGCTTGTACGACGTAGTATTGCCGAACAAGACCGCTGTAGACGTGAACCGCGACTTCATTAAATGGCATGAAAAATATGTATTATCCCATAAGCATTATCTACCCTCAGAGCAAATTAATCGCCAGTAGGTTATTGTAGATAATCATTCTCTAATTCAATTTTAATTACCGCGTTGTTGCAGTTATGGGGATAGCTTTAAAAAAAATTCTGTGTTTGGCCTTGCACATAATCTGGATGGGTCGGGTGAAAGAATGAGAAAAATCTTGCAGCCCAGTGACCGTTTAGTAATTATCAATGGAGTAGAAAAGAAATTTCGTGATCGCACTCATCCCAACATAGGAGAAATCGCTCATCGGTAAGAAGTAGAGTCTGTGGCTGGAGTTGGTGATTAGGGTTCCGTTAAATTGTTTTCTTGTAATTGCAGGACGGGTTTACATCACAATTTGGATGTAACTATCGGTAAAAGAACTAAAACTGATCTCTGCAACGTTCGGGACTTAATCGAAGATATTAAAGTGTGCAATCGTGATGTAAAAGTGCACAAGGCGGTCGCCCACATTAATCAATTGCGGCGTAATTTGTTTCGACGGAGACATTTTCATATGTATGATTTGAAATCGCTCTTGAAAAAATATGATGAGGACGAAACAGGCTATGTAGGCTTTGCTCATGTTTTAAACGCAATGCGTATCCTACAAATACGTCCCAACGAAGATAAATTGCGTTTAGCGGTTAAACACTATCAACTTTTGATTGATGCGGATACGCCCAATGAGCGGGTCAATTTAGAGCAATTTTGGAAAATGTTACACGTGCAACATCCTTTGCCGAACATGCAAAGTGGCGAACCCGTACCCGAAAACCTCCATAACAAAGAAACAGTATATCGGATAATGTGCAAGGATCGTGAAAAATCATTAGATCCCCTGCTTGTTGAGTTCTCACGCAAGCCGAGTGACGAAGATCGGACACGGGCTGGAGACTTAATTTCGCCTGCAGTTTCGATTACGTTTGGTCTCGGTCCAAGTGATTTCGAAGTGCCACGCCCGAAGGAAGAACTACGCAGAATTTTTAAACGTTTACTAGTCGACAATTTTGACGCAATTTGGGAATTGGCTCGTGCTAAGGCAAAGGGAGATGAGAATTGCAGCATATCGGTGAATAATTTACGTGAAACTCTGAACGAACAGGCAACTGCTAGAATTTCCCAACGCTGCAATCCTAAAGCAAATTTATTTGGATTTTAGGTTTTCATTTCACTAAATAGTTTCTAAATTATCAAATTGACATATATTATCAAAATTTAAATATATATGTAAACTTTTCAATTAGAATAAGCCAGGCGTTCTTTGTGTAGCTTCCGTTAGAACAAAGTCAACGTTGGCGGCTTCATTTCATTTCACTTAATTTATTCATTTATTAAGTAAGTGAAAAGGCTAATTACATAGATATATTTCCTGTGAAAAGAGAAACAATAATGGATCACCGACCCTGAAACGCTGCAATGATTCTTTGATAGTGTTATCGCTAAGATTTAACCGCTTTAATTGCGCAAATTGTAAACGCAGTCTGGTACTTTTGGTAAACTATTATGCGATAAATCCAATTCAGACAAGTTGGACAATCAATCAAAGATAGTCGGAAAATTATGAAGAGTACGTTGAGTGTTGCGCATAATCAAGACCTCTAGATTTTGCAAAGATGACAATTGACGCAATTGAAACAATTCCAAAGGATTATCCGCCAATATTAAGGTTTGTAAATTCGCTAAACGTCGAGTTTGTGGCGGCTTATCAGAATGCTATAATATTAATGATAAAGCCATTCAACTAATCACTGCCAAATTAAGCCGTCTACGTGCTTTACACATAAGCGGATGTTCTCAGCTAACAGATCACAGTCTTCATGCGATATTAATTAATTGTAAATCTTTAAAGGTGAGTGGCATCGAGGATCGTTTGAGCGAGCTGTCCACTTTACGCAATTTAAAAATGGACAACGCCAATAGCATGGAAAATGCTGAGCATTCCGTTTCGTTTAAAAAGACGTCTTGATTAATGATATTTCGCCGCAATTTTTGTTGTTTTTATTCTCTACTATTTTCAATTGGCCAGAAACAAAAAAAAAAAAATAAATAAATAAAAAAGGTTTCATGACTGCGTGAATAAATAAGAAAAGATTTTTGTGGAAAATTCTCTCTATTCGCCATCTAGTTTTTACTGGATAATGTATCTAGCAAATGGCTATCAAAAAGTTGTTGAATTTAAAAACTATGACATTAAGTATGGGTTCTAAGCTTTAGACTTAAAGTCGATAGCTTCATTTTTTTTACAACAGACCTTACACGGACGGACAGAGGGATATTGATAAATTGATTTAGAATTTGATGCTGATCAAGAATATATATACTTTGTGGTGTCTCTGGAGCATTCTTTTTTTTTTTTGTATATAAGATTATATATTATAATTAAGGTATAATCATTCGAAATTAGTTAGTAGATATTTTACGAGTTACAATTGCTTACTATTGCGAGCTAATGAGAAAAGTAACCCATTTAAATCATTTTCACAGTGCAGATGTGCAGTTAATTAGATGTCAAGGCATTCCCACTCTTATTCCGTGCAGAAATAACTAAAATCCTGAATTGCACACACATTTTTATTTTAGTCAATGATTGTTAAATACTTGCATCAACTGCAACATATAACGAAAATTTCCTTTTTGTACAAATAAAAAAATTCTTAGCTTAAATGTAACTCGTCTGCAAGGGCTACTTTAATTAAAATTAACCTCTTTCTTTAGATGTTGTGCGTATCCTTGAACGTTCATATTCGTGTTGCTTTTTTGCATAGGTCTCACGTTTGCGGTGGTCACGACTACGGCTACGAGTTCGATCACGTTCATCCTGACGTCTGCGTTCTTCGTAACGATCAGTATCGCGATAGCGATCCCTATTGTGACGACGATCTCTATCACCAGGCGACCGTTCTAGTTCACTTCGTTCGCGAACTTTCTTGCATTCTTCTTGTTGATCTCTTTCTCTATGACGTCTCTCCCTTTCTTCCCGCCTCCGCAACAGTTCACGTTCTCTTTGTTCCACGCGGTTTTCATCAACTTTCTCATCGTAACCATTTTCGTCCTGCTGTTTACGACGTTTAACGTCTTTCTGATGCTTAACTTTTTCGTCTGCGCGTTCTTCAGGTTTTGCACTTATTTTTGCTTCGGTTGTCTTTCTTGTTTTGCTTTTGCTGTTGCTCCCACTGCTGCGACTACTATTACTTGATGAACTCATGCTATCCGAAATTGATTCGCTTTCCGAAGATGAGGAACTGCTTTCCTGTCGACGTTTTTTTTGTCTCTTTCTATTCTTTTTTGACTTTTTATTTTCTTTTTTTTTTGACTTTTTCGTTTTGTGCTTTTTATTTTTTATGTTGGAATTTTTCCTTTGTTTTTTATTCGATTTGCCCTTCCTCTTGCCTTTTACTTTCTTGAGGATAGAATCCGAATTAGAGTCTGTAGAGGATTCCGAAGATGAAGAATTTGAACTGTCACTTGACGACGATGATGAACTAGAACCTGACGACGACGATGACGACGTTGTGGACGACGAGCTAGCACTTGTAGAGGAAGAGGACTCCGTCGTTACCTTTACTGGTTTATTAGCTAAAATTTCAGCATTTATTGCCGGAACTGATTTGGGGGCATTTTTCAAAAATTGCCTCAATTCGTCCGTTAAACCACCTAAACCAATGGACGTGAAGAAATTAATAGAAAATCGCGTATTTCGCGGGTTATCTTTTGGGAAGACACCAGCTAAGCTTTCAATCAAAGCTTCATCCTTAAGTTTACGATTCAGCTGGCTTAGGCCCATATATTCGGCTAATTCCTGGAATAGTATTTTAATGAATATACGGCTCGAAGATGTGGTATCGTCCTCGTTCAATTTAATACACTCCAATACATCCCACCCAATGGCATCGGTAAACAAGAGATGTGCAAAAAACTTGCTTACATTGCGTAATCGATTCGTATCTAATCGATGGGTAGTCTGATAAGTATCTTTAAATATTTCTTCAAATGGCTCTATATAGATTTTGTTTATGGCACAAAACCGTTGGGCCAGCAAGCCATAAAACTTTTCGTATGTTCGTTGCTCCGCACAGCAATCCAGAAACATGTGGCAAAGTTCAATTTCTTGACCTGGTTTTAACTGCATTTTCATTAGTTTATGGGCGCATTCCTCATAATCCAAACTGGAATTAATAGTTAAGTAAATAGTTCTTCTCAATGCAATCAAATTAGTTTCAGTGTTATCGATGATGTCGCCAGAAGTGGCGGGCTTATCAGCACCATCATCATCACTGTCCGAAGCGCCGTCGGATTCAGAAGCAGAACCGGCACTGGAAGAGGAGCCATCGGAAGCGGAGGCGTCGCTACCTAATATCTCACGGCTTAAACCTTTGTATTTATCCTCATTCGTTTCGAAGTTTTCATCAAATTTGAAAGCATCTGCAAACAAAAAAAAATGCAAAAAATGATTTTTTTAAAATTGTGTTAGCTATTGCGTAGTACAGATTGTACAAACAGTATTAAGCTTCTGAACATTAAAGCGGAAAGTACGTCTACTACCAACAGTTCATTCTTCCGGAAACGAATTCGGCCATTTTAACACGATCGACTAATTTAAGGTCACAGCGGGCGATAGTCGTCTAAGACTCAAATCATTGTCGGAAGATATGACACTCTCAATTTTACTTAATTTTGATTTAATTTATTTAATATTTTAAAAGTTCAACTTACTCAACGATTCCTCCGGATCGGTGGCCTCGTCCAGCGTTAACAAATGAGTAAATTGGTCATTTTCCTCTACCAATTCTAGCGATTCAATTACGGATTGATGATCTTTGAATCCATCCTTTCGTACTTGGAATACCACTTCAATCATATATTGAACACGTTTATCTAATTTGCCTTCATGCAATATGTTCTTCAGCATTTCAAATATGGCCCCAGTGCCTTTCGAAGAGACTTCAGTCAATTTCATGCCACATTCTTTTAAAAACGCGATCGCCACTTCCACTGAATCATCAGTTGGCATTTCGACAAGTAATGTCAATATTTCCAAAGCTAGTATTTCGTGAGCTACGCGCTGATTAACAATATGGGCTATGAAACGTGTAGAAGACAAGCAAACATTTTTATCGTTGCGGCGAAAAGCTCTTTTAAATTGTATAACTAAGCGTTTCAGTAACAACTCCCCAATTTTTGGGAACTTCGAATTAATAATTGCAACTAGAGCGGCGTAAACATGAGTGAAAGTGGGAGATGCAGCCTGAGCTTGTATGATTGAACGGCACAAGAGACCGCGACCTCGCACGATATTCTCTTTGAGTAATTCCCTGGTAATGATGGCAATATTATCGACATTTACTTTATTAATATAACCATGTATCGACTTTTTTAACGCTTCCCATGCTAACCGCTGATAGGCAATTGATGACTTGTCTGTTATTTCGGCTTGCATTAATCGCAACTTGGCAGGCGGAATATACGCACCCCCAGTGCGAGAAGTTAATAAATCAACTGTACGCCGTTGACGTTCGGTCATTTTGTCTGCCCCGTCGTCCTTGCTTTTGTCAGCGACAGAGGCACTTGAAATGATTTGATGTTCTTTCGAAACGCTACGTTTATTGGGCCTTCCCCGATCCTCCCGTTCGGCATGACGTTTGCGACGTTCCTCTCTTCTTCTCTCCAAAGATTCCGAGCGCTTGGAACGCCGTAGCTTAGATTCTTCGGAATGTGAACGTTCTCTTTCTCGCTGCTTTTTCGATCTGCGCTCAAAAGAGTTCGATTTAGAACGATCCCGTTTGGTTTTAGGAGAACGGCTATGTCTGCTATGATTGTCCCGCTTTCTAGCAGTTGAATCATCTCTATCTGAAGATCTTGAACGGCTGCGAGATATTAATTTTCCGACCGATTCGTCAGTGCTTTTAACTTTTTGTGAATTTTCAACTTCTTTGCTGGCACTGGTTGAAGAAGAACTTAATTTATTTACATTGATAGCTTTGGTGTTATTATGGTGGTCTTCGCAAACTTCTTTTGTCTTGGCTTCATGTTCATGTTGAATCTTAGCAGTACCTTCCCTCGGATTGACTTTGCTTTCGTTGTCATTTAAAGGGGTTCTTGTGGCATTTGCGGAATTTTCACCCCTCGCGTGCTTCTCGTTCATCAAAATTAGTTTCGATGATTCCGAATTCTTCTCATTGTTAATCTTATCTAATTCACAGTCATCTTTTTTCACCGCAGGCTGGCTTTGCGTAAATTCATTTCTTTGATCCCAGCGCGATTTAAATTTTGCAGCACTTTTTCCGTCCTTTTGAACATGTTGAGGTTCTGCTTCTTTCATTTTCACGCTTTTCACGCTCTCCTTAGAATTAGAACTGCTGCCGCTGCTACTACTTTCATTACTACCACTTGAATTAGCGTTTTCGGAATCACTTTCTACCATTTCGGTTTTCAAGTGTGAACAGATTTCAACGCTTTATAATTTTAACAATTATTCTTAGAAATCTTGGCTTTCCTACTAGTCTTAAGTTTACCACCGCTTTTTAGTAAAATGCGCAAATGAGAGAAAACAACTGTAAACGGCGTTACCACTATACAGGAAATCGACTTTTTCGAAAAAAAGTTACCATTCTCAAATTATATGATAATAGTTGCATTATTTAATTAAAGTTGTCCACATATATTTAGACCAATGACATAATGATCAACTGAAAAAAACGAAACCATTTTCTAAACAAACGAATAATTTTTTTTTAGCGAATTGCTTATGTTTTATTTTTGTTCCTCTTACTTAAATAAGAAAAATTAATATGTACATTGACATCATAGTGACTTGAAAACTACTTTGTATTTGAAGAATTTTCCAGCAGAAAATTTTAATAAAATATATTTTAAAAACTGTTTGGAGACTTATTGCATTCATCACTTTTAATATATTTTACAAAAAACTATATTAATTCTTTTCACCCAATGGCAGACGAATAACTGTTTTAACCTAAAAAATAGAGAATTAGATCAGGCATAAAAAGTAGTATCGTTTCATAGAAGAACATTTCATGAGGAACTAGATGCGTTTTCAATATAGGCTACGTGGTGATCCGCCCAAAGGCGAAAATCAACTTGAAAACACAAAGGAATAAAATTCTTTAAAATTGTATGGGAATACTTTCCTAACAAATTATCGAAAGGATGCTTTTGTTACCAACCTAATTAGAAAAATCATCAAAGCTGCATTTAACAGATTTTTGACTTAAAAAGCTTGCGGCTTTGCAAATTAAATGATCTGGCAATTTAAGTTGTTAGTTGGGCATCCAACCATTTTGGCAATTTTTTTATTCATTATAAGCGACTCTGCGCGTTGCCTTTCAACAGTGAATTTAGCGAGGACTTTGTTTAATTTGATAATAAACATTATGGCAATCTAATTTTAGGCTAACTTGTAAAATTATTATTATTATAAATTTAACCAGAGAATAAATTCTTTTCTCTTAAAGCGCTAGCATCAAAAAAAACTCTACTGCACTTGAGATTTGAAAATGCAATGAAAATGCAAAATTTATTGAAATCAAATGTATGAACAAATAGTACAATTCCAAAAAAGATGAATATACTTCAAAAATTAAAAGGGAAGAATTTGTTACGACGCATCAAAGACGGCATGCCATCAATGCATCCTCGATGAAAGAAAACTTATTCATGATGTAAGCAATTAATTATTTAAGAAAGCTTTGGCTTTTATTCGTCAAATATTTTCTAGATAGACATAATATTGCTTAGAAAGGCATTGACTGGATGTTTTATCCTACATTGGTTGAAATTTACCCTTGGTTGGATTCAATTATACAATAAAACATCAAAGTAGTTAGTGGGTTTCACATCGGTCGTTCGTAGGAATGTCGCTGAATGCATTAAACTTTCCTTCAAACGCAAAGCAATATGTTGAGTAAACATTGTCAATCGACCAAATAGGTCACCCCTTATTGCTACGTAGGTGTAAGTACATACCAACACTTGACATAAGCATTGACTTGACATTCTTTTTAAATAAAAATATCGACTTTATATTTGGTAGAAACAGTGGACGTTTCTCAGCATTTTTGTCGTGCCGTGCGACTCTTAACGTGGTTACTAATTTTACAAGTTTACAATAGTGTAATAGTGTAACAATTAACTTAATTACAATTCCAAAATTTTAATTATCGTAACTGGGCCAAATGCGTTCCATTTCTAAATTACAAATTAAATCAATAAATTTGATACTTTTATGCATATTTTTTATATCTCAAGCATCATTTGTTTGCTATTATAAAAAAAAAAGAAGAAGAATAATAATAAACATTTTCACATTATCGATAATAAAAGAAATGATGGCATAAAAATATAAATAAATTAATAACGAAATCATGTTTATATTGCTGAACTAGCTTATGAATCTTTGCTCTTCTCATTTTGTGGTTTTGAGGGTCGTGTTTCAGGTCGTGTGGGGCTGACATCGTCATCGCTACTATGACTCGAGCTAGATGACATGGCTTTGCTTTTCTTCTCTGGTATTGTGTAAGGGAATTTTTTACCTTCCGCTTCTAAAGCCACCTTCAGATTTTGCAGAGCAGTACGATTAATATTCTCCAAGCAAATATCCTTGATTGCAGTTTTAACGATTTCCAATGCCTTGTCGTTGCAACCTTTGCTACATTGTATATCGATCAGACATGAATAGGCATTGCCGATAGCTCCTTCCGATATTTTTGAGCCACGCAATTGATCAACGACCGTTTGAGCTAACTTTTCATCATTTTGTTCGCGTGCCGTTTGCAAGACTCGTTGAAACATTAAGCGTGGCGCATTAGATAGATATGTTGACCAAATATTTTTTGCACGATCTATATCGCCCTTCGACAGAAAATGTATCCAAAGCATGTTAACGGGCCCCAAGTGTTTATGTGCAGCATAGCTTTCGGCCAACTTTTCGACTAAAAATGAAAAATTATTTAATTTATGGCAGAACGTGATGTTTAAAAAAGTGACATACATTGAGGTAATAGCTCCGGATGTTTTTCCAGCATTCCCAGCATTCCTCCGCGTGGAAATTTCTCGGCGGATTTAGCTATTTCTTCAGGGGTTTTAGCGTTCGCCAATTGATCGGAAAGTATTTTTAAATACTCCTCTGCCTTTCCGGCTGCTGTGTTGGCGTTACAGTAACGATTATCGAAAGATATTTTGCGTTTCTGATCTTCGCTTAATTGATTGCCTAACTTCTTCATGGTTTCTAAGTCTCCATTGCTTGCAAGCCGATTTAAGTAAAACTTAAAAACGCGGGGAAGAGGAAGGCATTTATTATCCAGCATTTCATTAACACATTTTGTTGCTTCAGTGAGACGATTGGCTTTTACTAGCTGTTCAATAAAACGCGACAGATCGGAGATTGACAATGGTTCAGAAGAATTTAATTGATATTTTGCCGCGATCATTGCTTCTACGTCGTCTCCATTCAACGCTTTTCGAAACATTGAATGTTTTGAAACATTGGCGGAACGCACATTTTGCGATTTTTTACGTAATTCTTCTTCAGCTTTCACTTTCGATTTAATTCCTACGTTTTGCTCTTCCTTAACTGTTGGTACTGAAAATGGTATTTTCATGTTTTTCGACTCTAACAATTTGGCTAATTTTAAAAGGAATGCGTCGCTAGGTGTAACATCTTCCTCTTGCATTTTAGTCCATAAGCCCAAAGCTTTGTTCACGTCGTCTATTTTGCAATAGCTTAAAAGCAGAGTGTAGTAAATTTTGTCGCGGTCGATGTGGTTAAGATCTTTAGTAGCTTCTACCAGGCCCTCTAATGATTCGACCATGCCTTCATTTTTATAGCGTTCGCAAGCAGTGTCAATGCGATGAGGTCGTACTCGTAATCCAGGTGTCTCCAAAATTTTCCTCGCCTGCCTGATTCGTCCGCACTCCACAAACGAAAAGACCAAATCGTATAAACTATTGATTTCCCCATGTATGTTAGTGCTTAGATCAGTGAGTTTTTGTAAATTAGTAGCATCTTCTGTTTGTATCAGGCGGCGAGCTAGTTCATTTTTCCATGGCGTCGCTTTGTACTCGTCACAGATTTTTTCGAAAGCTTGCATAGCTTTCGGTATATCGTCTCTAACTAAATGAACCTACAAGAAGAAGTACGCAATTGGTTTAGGAATTTCACGTCCACATTAGATATTTGATGGTATACCTTGATCAAAGGACCTAATAGAACGTTGTTGGGTATTATGTAGTTGCCTCCAAGCAAAGTATCAAAAACTTTTTGCAATCTTTCAACATTAGCAGAATCAGCCAAAGCATTTAAAATTCGCCAAAGTCTAGACGAATAATTATAATTTGTGTCCACGTCATTTAACATTTCCTTCTTATTTTTTTCCAGGAAATTTAACGCATCTTCAAAACGATCCTGTTTTAATAACAATTCAGCTACACTCACAGTCTTAAGATTATCTAGCAGGAAATTGGGTTCTTTAGCTTTAACTTTTTGATAAACATCTAAGGCATCTTCGACGCGGTCGTGATACACATATAAGTCAATTAGTTGAGCATAAATACCAGAACCAATCTGGAAGTTTTCATTCTCAAGGCTTTTTATAACTTCTAAAGTTTTTTCTATATTTTTAGAACGAAAACAAGCATTTAGCAGAAGACGTTTTAAATTTTGCGAATTTTCTCCCTTGGCCTCTACGTTAGCTATGAAACGTTCAAGTTCTAAAAAATTAAATTTGTTTAACGGTAATATTACTAATCATTCGATTATACATAAACAGCCGTACCTTCAACCGATAGAGTATCCACAGATCGCTTTTTTTGGGTATTACTTAAAGGCTTCATTTCCAATTCTCCGGAGCTGAGTTTTGCTAACAACTGGGAGATACTAGGGTTCATATTAGATCCGAGTTTTTCCGATAAACGGGCTGCATAGCCATTGCTAATAGTAAAACCTTCTTCCACCAATTTAGGTAATAAGTTTTCCAAAATTCCAACGCTTTTCGAACGATAATAAGAAACAACATCTAGAATAAGGTCACCGACGACCTCCGAAGTGTAAAACGTTTCTCCACTGAGCTCAGATTCTCCCGATTCTCCAGCTAAATTTTGTTCAGATTCTTTCAAATCCTCCGCTTTCTCTGTAACTGCAATTGCTTCTTTATTCGACGGCGAAGATGCGCTGGTAGAATTTGCTCGTCTTTGTTCACTTTCATACAATTGCCTAAGGCAACGAACAAAAGCATCGTAGTTCTCAGTTTTTGCAAATGCCTTCAACAAAGGACCCCTGAATAATTGACCGTTGTACATGGATTGATGAGATTGCATTATGTTGGCAGCCTTTTCAATCTGAAAAGATATTTTGAGATATTTATGAGAATCAGTAGCTAACTGTTTTATCATGTCACCTGAAAGTTAGTGAGGGCAACAAAGCTGGCCGCTGCGGCTGCGGTACCCGTTGGTATGTCAGCTTCGCGCAAAAAAGACATAACTTTGTCCCAATTCTCTTCCTTAAGTGTTGGTATAACATAATCTCTAAGCGTTTCACCATTTAGCGTCAGATTAAACTCGGTTTGCATCTTATGTAATATATTCACCATTTCATTTGGCTTTGACGAACATATTAAAGGCCAAAAGTAATGCTGCCGTATTGGGAAACCAGATTTTTTCATTTCTTGTAATAAAAGTAAAGCATTGTTTGCCGCACCATTCATTAAGCCGGCCTCAGCTGCAATTAGTAAGCCCTTGGTATTTAAATCTGGAAGAAAGCAAAGAATTTAAATTTCAATTTTTCCTTGCGGCTTTCGTTGGTATTGCCACAAACTTACCTTCTTCCTTTAGAAGATTACAAACATTTAAAACTTTCTCAATCGGCCGGTTTGCTTTTACCATTTGACGTATAAAAAAGGACCCAACATCCACTGGTTGTCCATTTGGCCTATTGCCACGTGGCATGATTTTCAATAGCTTTAAACACACATCCTCATAACCTTTGTTAACTAAACGTAATATGACGTTTACACATTCTTGATTGAAGCCCATTGAACGATGAAATTTTGACAGTAAAATATCAATTTTGTCACCGTGGCCATTCACCGTTAAATGATAAATAATGTCCAGCATATCTTTATCAATTAATAAAATTTCCTTCTTCTCACATTCAGCTAAACAGGACTGTATAGACTCAAGATCACCGTGTTTAGCATAACAACACATCAACGTAGAATAAGTTTCGGCGCCAAGCTCCAAACCAGCTTGTTTCATAACACCTAAAATACCTTTAGCGGATTCCATGTCATTGGCCTAAAAATGATAAATAAGGATGAAAATAATTTTCATAAATAAAGATTTTATGCGTGAAGGTCTAATGCATTTTCAAAATTTCTTCTATAGTGATTTTATAATAATAATAATATATAATAAGCGCGTACTTCTTTGTAGTACTTTACTAAAGCGTACAGATACGGCTCCTCTCTCTATCGCAACACAAGTTGCGTATGCAAGGTCATGTGTTACTAACTTACTGAACATCCTGCTATTCGATCTAATTGATTTACAAAATAACGATTATTTTCGATTCGATTTCGAAAACTATAGCTTTAAAATTTTGAACCGATTTACCTGATTTCATAAATTACCCTGATGAAACCAATACAAAAAAAATCGGAGACTGACTGTGATCACATTACAATTGCAAAGGACAAAGGGTGGAAGTTTTCCGAATTAGAACAGCGACAATAAGAAAACCATGAACACGTTAAAAAGTAAGAAGAATTATTAATATACCAACCAAAACGGTGCAAATTGTTTATCATAATTAGAAAGGATTTACAGAGAGAAAGCAGTTATAGTACTAAATCCTCGGAAAGAAGTAAAGGCAGGGAGACAGAAAAAGAGGAGAAGGAAATAGAACGGTATCAAATAATGCTTTGATCGATTAAGTCAAATAGCAATTAGTTTGAACAGACTGAATAGTTTCGATAGTGTCTTCAAAATCCATTTCTTATACCCATCATCAAAGAACTCGAAGATATGTAGTTGTGATCAGAATCATTCGCTTTTTAAGCTTGCTCGCCCGCCGTGTAATGTCTGTCGTAACAATGGTCTGATCGCAAAAATGAAGGTAATGGCTTGAAATTTAGCAGGAACATGGAACGAAACACGCAGATGAAGACATCGTCTACAAATTTGCAAAAATATGTGAAAATTACCTATGCCGCTTAAAGAGAAAGCTACTATGCAGAAAAAACTGAGAACAAGTTTGCTTTCTCCATTCCTTGCCCGTTGCTCTTAAGTGCCCTAAGACCTCGATGAATATTTCTGCTTTTATGAAGCAATCAGCCACGGCCACGCAATATTATAAAATAGCAAGATTTCATGTTTTCATACTTGTTTAGGATCATTTAGAATAATGTTTTCACTTAGTCACTGGCTATACTGATCTGAAGGAAAACGGCTTCTGTAAGCACTAAAATTTGCTTTTCTAGACTGACGCATAATTACGTGTAATATAATGATGGGATCTCAGAAATGTTTGCTTACTTGAGAATGGCCCAATATTAAAGAATTGAACACTGCTTCGTTTACAGGCAAATTCTTGGCTCTCATAAATTCCAGTATCCTAGTAGCGCCATCAATATCCCCTTGCTGACAATAACGTGCAACTAAACGTTGATACGTAACCCGATTTGGTTCAAGTGATTTCGATTCAAGTTCTGCTAAAAAGTCGGTAGGCGAAAATTGATGTTCATTCTCCAGGTACACACGCAATAAAGCGTTATAATGTGATATATCCATTGGTACATTAATCGAATTGAATGTTTTCCATATTTCCTGCACTAAAGCCGTACGTACTTCAGGCATTTCTTCGGGCACCAAATTGCCACAACATCTAATGACCATCAAAGATTGAGAACTTGTTGCTGAGCGATGGGCACGTATCTCTTCAAGAACATCTTCTAAATCCTGTCGGGATATTCGACCCATACGTCTTAAGTCCTTATCTAAACGACGTAATTGATCGTCTAAAGTTAAGTCTGTTTTGACATTATCGCTAACACCGTTAGCAAAGCCCCTAAGGAAAGATCAATAAAAGTGAGGTTAGAATTTATAGTCAAACATTTGCATTTGAATAAACACTTTTGTCACCGCAGTCATCATAGTCAGTAATGTTTGCATCATAAATTATAAATTTCCTTTTTCAAATTAATTCTTATTTGACTCTTCATTCATGATTATTGCGTAAGCCGGTATTTATTACTTACTGCTGGTATTGCAACATGCATGGTAGTTTTTGCAAAAATGTACTGCTTTCTGTATCACGTACAGTATTTACTATCAAATTTCTTGTAACTCCAGCAAAATGTCTCAACAATTTCCCACTTCTTAATATTGAAGCCATTATTTGCCTTAATTAATATCTAAGAATGGAAATATGAAAAAGAAAAAATTTTTCTTTCTTTGCACGCACACCTTCGTAACAGATTAATGTTGCCGTTATTCCAATATTAACAATAAGTTGGGGATGCAGGATATCGATGTTTTAAATAGAAATACATAGGTTTTGCTAGGAATTACTAGAGGTATGCGATCACTTTGTATATTTTCTCTCATCCAATTAAAGCTGTAATGCAAATAGGTATCCGGCCCAATCCAATTTTTCTTCAAAAAATTTTAATAATTTCTGTTTAAGGTGCAATATTAGTTAGATATTTAAGCGACAGATTGAGTAAAATTGAGTAAAAATAAGAAGCAATGTCTAGTCTTAAAAATATTAAATATAATAACGAAAACAAACGTGAAGCTTGCTTTATTTTTTTGATCTCAATACTTTTAAAGTTAAGACTCTTCATAAAATTTCTTCTTTTTTGAACTACTTTTATGAATTGTAAGGGGATACCAAAGTGAGGTGCCATTTCCGCTTTCGGGTTAAAAACTTCCAAGTGCCACAACGGACGGCCGCGCTACCATATTGTTATACAGGTAAATGTAAGGAAAAACAATTGGTTTCAGAATCACAAACAAAGAAATCAAGGTAAACGTAAACAACAAATGTATAAAAAAATAACAACAAGAAAGTTAATGAATAAATAAAAAAAGCTTGTTTATTGATTATTATTATTTAGTTTTATTACTTTATTTATTTATCGTGTCATGTCTTTCGACACAAATCGAAACACTAGATAACTCGAACAATTATTCAATGCTGAAGAAATTCAACATAATTACTCGTTACACTAAGGATTATAAATATACTGATTGTTGCTCTCAACTTATACACACTAACAATAGCCTTGATAACACGCGGTAACTTTACAGCGTTGATAAAACATAGCCTTTAGGACCTCAAATGCTTATGATCAGGAAGAATTAAATCCATCGTACGTCAGGATTAAACAAATCGGATTTTCTCAAATAAATATTTTGGCGTATATGTATGTATAAACGAGCTTACGAAACCAAGATTGCTTTTAGCACATTAAGAAACGATGAAAGTTTAGAGTTTAAAATGTCTGTCGAAAACTGTGATATTCTATCAAAGTTGCCGTATGGATTTAATTAGTTTTAACTTGGCTTGAGTCGGTACGTACGAGGAGGATGATCGCAACTTTCTTAGAACGTTGCGTATCCGCACAGTCATAAGGTCGATAAGATAATGATCACTTAAGCGTGAATTAATTACAAAGCCAAGATTGGCAACTTGCTTGACAATGTCATCCAGTGCATCACCCATTCTAATATTAGATTGCCTCCTTCTTGTTCGAACGAAACTTTAAATTATTGATAACTAATGACCAATGCGAGATACGATCCAAATCATCCTTAAATCGCTGAATCAGATCCTCCACCAGACCCCATCTGCAAGTTAGGTATATTTCGGCATCATCTGCTTACCGATGAACATTGCACTCTTGACAACAAGTAACTAGGTCGTTAATGAAAATACGGAACGAGATGGGCTGTAATATAAAACCGGTATAGATATGGAGTATAGAGTTAGTCCCCGGGCAAATTGCTGCGACTTATGTAATCAACCCATAGAAACAGCATAATTGCATTGCATTGACGTCTGGCAAGCATTTCCCCCATGAGTTTACAATTTTCCAGCACCAAATTTGGAGCAGGGGTACCGCTAACTTTGACATGATGCCTGTCTTGGATGGTAACACACCTTCATGGGAGAATGTGTTAAAACGTTCCAACCATGCACGTGGTCTATAAAAACGTAAATCAGCTTGAGAGGCGAAGGGAAGAGGCGCCCAAAACGTTTGCTTCGAAACGCAACAACTCCATCTGAGGATCATGTTTATGATAACGCAGAACATAGGCCGATATAATATATTTCCCTTCACTTTACTGTATTCTATATAACAAAAAGCCCTAGAAATTTAAATTCCTTATAAATCCCCAGTAGCTTTTATTGATCGAATTAACAAATCAATATTTCAATTAGTATTTTATTTCAGTTGTTTTTGTGTTAATGTAGGTGCAAGATGCATATCAAAATGCCTAATCGCTTTCGTATTCAAAGTACAATATATTTGTAAAATTTGTATTAAAAATGTACAATATATGAGATACTTCGCTTCATCCAAAAAAAAAAGAAGAAAATGATTGATTCTTAACTTTTATACTATATTATCCTGCGCCTGTTCTGGACGTTGCAAATGGTTAATGCACAATCACACACGTGTGCAGTGTATGCGGGGAGGTATGCTCAAGGAAGAAGACATAACAGTGTCTAGTAGTGTTAGCGGATGGACTACAAACAGCTTGCGGGCTCACGGGCATCAAGAACATATACGTATACAAATACCATATTTCAATGTGTTTCCCTGCCGTGGATATTGAGCTATGAGTAATTTTCAATTTGGCAACTTACTCTATTATAGCGCCAGGTATGGCTATATCCTTTAATTTTGCTATTAGTAAAGCCCAATGAGCTTCATCGTGCGAGATCCGATTCCAGTTTTTCTCTTCTTCCCGTTGTGAACCCTCATCACAAGACCCCGTTATTAGAATAACATTGTAAATAGTTTCCCTATTTCAACCTTTGGCGGTATACCTCTTTGTAACCTTGGCGTAAATCTTTAGCTGCAGTTGTACAAATGAATTGTTAGTGAAGATAGATCGCATCATCGTACCAGTAGTGACCGATCCACATTTTTTCTGTGAACTTTTACTATCGTTATCAATTATACTGATCGGAACTTGTGCATCGGTCCACTCTTGGTGAGGGTCTTTTTGCTCTAAGCGATTTAGTTCTTTTATAATTTTATTTATTTATAATTTAGTGGACCTTTCATTAATATTGCTTTGTAGGATTTCGAAGCTTTCAACTGACGCATGTAAACACATCGATTCGGAGACTATTGTTTGATCAATTTTGTCCCCCGATTTCTTTTCTTGTCCAAATATTATTTGCTCTGCTCCAATTATAGTTTGAGAATTTTCTTTCTAAATTGACTTGCTTGCCAACTTTCAGCAATGTGAGAAGAGCTTTGCAAGGAGATCACATCAGAAGAGATTTCTTGATCGACTAGTCCTTTCTCTTGTTGCAAGCTTGTCGAGGTTCGACAATTTCCATTATTATGCACAGAGTTAAATTAATATTAAACAATGTTTTTTTTTTTTTGCCAAATTTCTCTCTCATATTTAACTCAAAACAATACTAAATTCAAAAACAAAAAAAAAAAAAAAATTTATTATAAAAATAATGCTAACAACAATAACAAAACTCGAAAAGAAAAAAGTTTGAACTAAACACTAAACACCTTTTTAATAATTACTCAACTTACTCATGCAATAATGCAAAGCAAAAATGCAACACATTATCGTATGATGTCTCATCATTACGTACTGAACGTATCAAAGCATCTACTTCGCGATCTTTCCAAGACGAACGTTCAACAGCTATCAGTTGCATGATTCTTATGTTTTTTCGTGACCTTTTATTATAAAAATGCCATCGCATTCAGAATCATGTTCACCGCCCTTTATCGTTTTTGCTGATTTTAAAGACCCCAGATTGCAACTTTTAGGTTTAAGAATTGCGGGAATTTCACCGAGGTCCATATCAAAAGGTTCTTTTGGCGTATCGTTCACTTTCCAGCTTAACTCTATGAAACACGTACCGCCACACGTTTGTTGCATTTGTCTTGCCTCAGCAGGGTAAATATTGCAATCCTTTACGTCAAAAACATTGGACGGAACTTCTGGCTTGCTGGTTCTAGTATCTTGAACATTTAACTCAACTCTTTCTTCCACTAACGTTACGTTACTATGTTTTCTTTTGAATTCCCGACCTTTGTGCCTACCTTTGTGCCTACTTTTGATTTGTAAACAATTTCATATGTTGTCTTTTGAATTTCCGACCTTTGTGCCGACTTTTGTGCTTACCTTTATTTTGACGCAACGAGCACTGAAATGTGTACCTATCAAGCGAACCTAACGGTCAATGCTACGTCTACACCTAAGTGAGCTTTTTTAGTGTTGGCAATTTTACGGGCAGTGCTAACAGATTAACTTAATGGCGATGCAAATTGGAAAATCTCTCAAAAAAAAAAAAAAACCGATTACTTAAATACTCGGGTCGTTTTTGTTTTGATTTGTTTTGCAAGAAAAAGTCCCCAATGGGGAAATATAACACATTCCATGAAAAAGCTTGATGTGACTTAAGTATAAGAAACATTCATTGTCTATGGATAAGAAGAATGATATTTGCGTAATAATAAACTTAATTTTATGATGCAAAACGGCATTTTTGTTGTTGGGACCTGAAGATTATATTATTTGGAATTTCAATAAATACGTAACCTATGTGTAACTATTCCATTTTCAATTTTTTCGAATAAAGGTAAGGAGGAGGTAAGATAATGTATTATTAGGGAATGAAAGAATGGGTTCAGTCGATTTGTTTTTATACGTGAGCCGATTTGAGATGCTTTATGGATGAATATGAACTGTGACGTGGCTCAGTGGCTCAGTTTCACCAAAAAAAAAATTCGTTACTATACTGTCGCAAGTTCTTTTGATTTCTCTATTACTTACGATATTTTTGCTCTGAGAATATAAGAGCCAATCAAACTGTTTGTACTGATAGTTCCAGCACATGACTTTTACCGCCGATCTTTAGTACCATTAATTTCAAAAGATACTTTGATTAACTGATTATATTTGGAAGTTTTTGCTTTTACAAGGAAACAAATCTACGACTTATTTGCCAAATCTCTTCCAAAATGCTGTAAATACTGTGCGAATGTTAACCATTTTTCCCCGGAAATTTGCTTTAAAAGCTAGCCATACCTAGTTCATGCAGTTTTAAAGCGTTGTTTACTCTAGCAGCATATAAATAAAATAAACAAGTTAGTGGCTTTCTTCTCATATGTGCTTATCATGGCATTTTACGATAAGTCACTTAAGTTAAAAGAATGGGAAAAAGGGAAAGGTAAAGGAAAAACTAATATAG